GGTGTCACCAAGGGGCAAACATTTTCTATTTCATCTTGGAAAAGGGAAGAGACTTTTGGCTGGATCACACAGTTGGCTGGAAATGCCTTCAAATTCTTCATCTCTTTTCGCTCATTCCACATTGGTCAAACCACTTTTCCAAAAGTTTTAACAAGTGAGTACATCTCCCCTGTATAGAAGAACCTTCAAGTCCAATGAAAATCATCTATCTCTATCATGTCTCTACCTATCATTCATCTATCTAATCTATCTATCTATCTATCTATCTATCTATCTATCTATCTATCTATCTATCTATCTATATCATCTACCTATCTCTACATATCTATCCTCTCTCTCTCTCTATCTCTCTCATCATCATCATCATCATCATCATCATCATCATCATTATCATCTCTCTGTCTATCTCTGTGTTCATTTATTTGGATTTCAGTAACTTGACAAACTTGAATCATGCTCCCTGAGTCTGAGCCCAGGACACTGAAAAAACTAAAGGCCAGACTCTGGATTAAGGTAAATTCTTCTCAATTAAGAATGACAAGTAGATTTTAATCTATACGCTAACTTCAATACATTAACAATTGGGAAAGATTCTGTGATGAGCAAGATCATGAGGACGTGTCTGAGTACAGTTTGACAGAACAGCCTGCTTGATGAATAATATCTCCCTTGGACAAGGCAGGAAAGTGGTGTGTGTACTGCACATTTACTACCCTGACTCAGATAATGTACTCTCAGGGGCCTCTAGCTAGAAAATCTCCTGATCACATCCCTCCAGCCTTGAAGTGCTGCATTAGGCATGATACAAAGTTGTACTGTATGTCCACATTTTATAAAGAGAGCTTTCACCTTCAGTAGTTCACAATCTAATACTCCACTGTAAGGATCACAATCTGTTCTCTCCATTATTCCATCAATGAAAAAGAAAATGGCTTATTAGAAAATACTTTTTTAGGTGCCTGTCTTCTAGGATAAGTTGATCACCTCATACATTAGAAAACTTAGACATAACACTCCAAATTAAAATTATTTTTGTGATCAATTCCATTCCCTTGCTTATTTCACCTCCCAAAGCAGTGGTGACTAATGATTCATACTTGTAGGTATTTCCATTCTTTGTCAGCACAGAGGATGGATTTAGTGGGAGGGAGGGTTAGAGCAGGTAGAATGTATGATTAAAATGTTTACTTAGCATTTTCAAATCATGGAAGATACCAAGTGGAGACTCATCGCAAAACTACAGCTTCCACCCGCTAAAACATGTACATTTAACATCTTCATTACTCTCATCATGACTGCTGACATTAGTAGAGTGGTTCTGGAAATAGTTCAGGTTTCTGAATGCATTTGGTTAATAAATCTTAACATAGCCTGCTGTTTCTAGGTAGGTTCATTCCAGTGAAACACAGGAGAGAGGGAGAGAGCTGGGTGTGTTTAGTCAGGTCACTCAGGGCAACAACCCTTTGCAAAGCACACTGGCCCCATCCCTTTTACAAAGGTCTCCAAACTGCAGATCAAATCAAAGATCAAAGATATTGAAGAAATGATTTCCATAGCCTTTCATCCATTATTCCCACAGCTAAGGAAAAACAAAAGTTTTCATGTAAATTCTACCCAAATGGAAATACTTGGACATACCCTACACTTTATCTCTTCTGTTTTTTAGTGATCTATTAAAATCCTTAGTTTTTTCTTGCATTTAACTTTTAATGCTATGCTCAGTTGAAGATAGTTCCTATTTAATAAAACACTGATATTTTCCCGACAAGAGAGACTAAATAAAAAAAAAACACATACACTCAAATGTTTGTGGGAAATTTATGTTTTATACTTTTTGAATGTTGGGGGCAATTTCTGCAGTAAGAATGTATTTTTTATATAATCAGAACAAAAAATAGCTACTTCTTAAAAATCAATAAAGAAATTATCAACAACAAAAAACATAATTAGCCTTAGGAGAAGAAAATCAGTGTTTTCTTTGGCTTATGGCTTATCAGAGAGAAGAAAGTAAGACAGACAATTGGCAAGAAAAGATTTCTGCCTACTCCTACAAAGGGTATAAACATCTTTAACATTTAGCTACAACAGAGCTAAAGTCTCAGAATCAGAACATGGCCCTCAGAGTCCCTTTGAAGTACACATTCCACATATAAACATGATATATGGGCTGCCAGAATTTGGCCATAAACAAGGTCATTTCCATGAGAGCTTCTCAGGGCTTCAGCCACAGGACACTGGAAACAGACGAAGGCTTATAACCAATTCCACTTTCTCGTAGATGAGAAGGAAAATAGCAGTCCATGAGTAAGAATAAATTTGTTGAATCTTTTATGTGCTCTAGTTCAGCCCCTCAGTGGACAAGCCCCTCCCATCTGTGAGACAGTAGGCCAGGGTCCAGGGCTCTGCCTGGTGTTCTAGGACAGGAAGAGGTAACTGACCCACACAGGGATCGCCTTTATGACACTGACCTCATTAGCTCACTGTCCTCACCTAATGAAAGAGACAGACAAAACAAACATCAGCTCTGATTTCAACTGAAAAACACTGCCAATGACCAACTTTCAGGACATGTTTGCTTACACACGGGAGAAATTAACACCTCCAAAAGTCTATACAAATTCCAAGTTTTTCTCATTCTAACACACGCTAAATTTTTGGAGCCTGTCTATCTCTCTTAAAATAGAAAGCAGAGTGGCTATTTCTGCATTGACGGGGATACAGTTTGGTTCAAATCAATTCTGTGAACATTTATCGAGGCTTTGTGTTGGGGTCTGGCAGCAGCAGATTTCTCATCATCCTAGTACTGAGCCTAATTTTTCTTTATTCTACATTCCTTACACTGAAGACATCCATTGAAACTTGTAGCATATGAGTGGTAATGGTAGTTTATCTTGAACCTGTTTCTAGACTTGATAAAAGTTGAAACTAGTTAGTTAGCTACACAAATTCAGTGACCCCCAAAACAATATACTGCATTTCATACAATATGTATTATAGCCGTGTACATGGGCAGGGTTCCCACACTTTTTTTCTAATTTGTTCGAAATTTGTTACATCTCTAAAACTTTCTTCCCATAAATTTTATATTTTTAACCTGAGGGGATAAAAGGACTCAATGCTGGGAGGTCCCCTTCAAATTTATAACTTTGCCATCACTAATAAATAGTTTCTCTGCATTGTTTTCTATTTATGATTTAATATTAAGCAATACTGCTATGATCTGAATGCTTGTGTTCCCCCAAAATCGTATGTTGAAATCCTAATGCTCAATGGGATGGTATCAGGAGGAGGAGCCTTTGGGAGGTACTTAGGTCGGGAGGGTGAAGCCCTTGTGAATGGGATTAGTGGCCTTAAGAGACCCACAAAGCTCCATCGTCTATGTGGACATAGTGAGAAGGTGGCAGTCTGCAACCTGGCAGAGGGCCCTCACCAGAACCTAACCATGCTGGCACCCTGATCTTAGACTTCCAGCCTCTAGAACTGTGATAAATAAATTTCTTTTGTTTATAAGCCACCCAGTCTATGACATTTTGTTACAGCAGTCTAAATGGACTAGACAAACACAAAATATTAACATATCAGAAACAATCTGTTTATAAACTCCTGGAACATGGCCAGCCTTCTCACTTTGATATTTCTGCATAAGGTCATTACTTACCTTGTCGGAAGCAGAAGGCAGAGATACAGAGAAGCAGAGATGAGACAGAAGGAAACAGATGAGCTTTGCAATTGGGTGGGCTCTACTCTATTTTTACTCAAGTTTTTCTAAAAGGAGATCAGAATGATGTGCTGAAAGAGGCAAGTAACTTTTAGTTAATCTTGATATAGGAAAAATAGTGCTTATCACCACTACCATCAAATGTGAATGACAGCCCATTTGAATTTCTCCTTCTCCCCATGTCCCTCTTTACCTTTGGTGAAAGTGCTAGGAAAAATGAAAGAGTAAAGGCACGAGGCATGGGGGAGAAATGAGCAGTCAATTTATAATGCTGATAGTTAACAATATCTTGCAAAATTAAATGCCCTTCAATAATTGTAGCCTAACGAGTAACTGAACTTCCACATATATTTATGAGGAAGTATAGCTCAGATTGGATAAAGGTCCCCTTCAAAGACGTCTATTAACAGATCAGTGTTTCTAATCAAAAGGTCTCTAACGTGTCATAATCATATGAATGAACAGTCCTCACAATCGCTGATTGTACACAAAGAACAATGACAGTGCCCTCTGGCCCTGGGATACCACTTCAAAATGGACAAGCCAGCCTCATTCAGAACAAACATTTAGCTAACTAGCTCGTATTTGCTTTAATTCCTTTGATATTTCCTTAAACACAATGGAGTTTATTGTGTTTACTAATTCTGAGAGCTGGGGATTTTCTATGTAAATTAAGGGATGTGCAAGGCTGGCTTCAGCTGGGGAGGCCCCTTGACACATGGCAAGGGTGTGCGTGCAGGGAGAGGTGAAGAATTGGGGCCATAATCTCAGTCTCCTACAACTACTGAAAAATTACTTAAATGAGGATATTTCCACAGAACATCCCAGGGCCTCATCTGCTATTAAGCATAAAAGAGATGCTAGTATATGTTTGACATATACAGAAAAGTATAGAGTACTATAACGAATACCTATGTACTACCTCCAATAATTAACAAATTTTTTTTTATATTTACGTCAGATCTTTTTCTTTTTTATAAAATATTTTAGAGTTTAAGCCCTATGTATACCCCTCTACAATTCTATTTCCCCCCGTTCTCAGAGATAACTATTATCCTCAAGTTAGTCTGTGCACATTTTTGTATTTTTACTATATATGCACGTTATTCATGAAGCCACACTCTTCACCTAGCCTTATCGCTTTCTGTTAATATTTAGTCAGCCTTTCCAATAAAATGAGCTGCTTCTTCAGTTCAAAAGCTTTTATATAGGTCCTACATGTGAATCAAATAGCTATCCAGGGAGTATTAGAATTTGACTTGCTCCATTCTCATCTCTTTTTTTTTTTTGTCTTATATTAAAGAAATGAGAGATGCAGAATTCTAAGGCTATATAGCTAGAAAATATTTATTCAAACTTGAATATTCTTCAAAGAGAGCACGGAGCAATTATAATTATCAGAGGAAGACACGTCACAGGGAAATAAAAGCCAGATGTTTTCCACAGGAGTCCTCCTTTTGGCTGTTTTGATTTCGACTGGTAAGTCAAAAACACAATTTTAGAATCTTGGCTAATTTTTAAAAACTTACTTCAAGGATATATTTCAAAGTTGTTAATAACATAATCACAACAGAAACTTGTGCGTTTGGTTACTAAAAATGGAAGAGGAGGGATACAAGAGGCGAGGAAGGCTCTCAGTAATTTCCATTTGAATATTGTGGTTCTTTAACGAGGAAAACATAAAAATGGAACGGGTGCCCTTTAAGAATGAAGTCTTTCAATCTTGGTCTAGGACTTAATTGGAACATAATTAGAAAATAAAAAGTTTGTGTAAGAATTTGATTTAGAAAATTCTTGATACAGAGACTGATGTGTGAATTAGGACAGGGGAACACTCCCTTAAAAGTCACAGTGGGAGAGAAAATGGAATTAACAAATTGTTTAGTATAGAATATGCTTAATGGCCACATGCCATATGCCTTATGCTTCTCTTCATGGCACATACAGTAACAAATAGTAAAATATTGTTAAATGAAATCAACGATCAAATTAGCAGGTTCTTGGTTTTGCTTCCGTTTTTGTGAGTTTGTTTTGAAGTGAAAGGATGAGTTTGTTGACTGTGCCTCTTTGTGAATGTTAACACTGAAAATCTGGGAAATTGAATTCAATTGAACTTTCATCAAGTATTTATTCTATTAAAGGAGAAGTTGCACTTAAAACAAAGTTTGAACAAAATACCAGAGCGCCAGCCCCCTCCTTCATGTTTTAATGCTTCATAATTTTATAATTGTTTCTACTCCCTTCCCTACCTTCTCTTTTCACTCCATTCTAGACTAAATTGGTTTGACATGTTCTTATTTCTAGAGTCTCCCTCTTCCATGTTTGCAAACATGAGAGATTTATTTAGTGTTAAATAAACTTTGCTAGTCAGCATGTGTTTCTCCTTTAATTCAAACATGTTCTTGGATTTGATTATTGGGACTAACAATAAGTGAACATTTCAAAGTTACTTTCTAATTTCTGGAGTTCTTTCTTTGAGCCATGCTGTTTGATTATTTTCCTTAACCTAAATATAGTGGTCCCAGTGCCAAGCGATGAACAAAGAAAATTTGAAAAGCACAATTTATGCCATTTATTAGTTGATAATATGAAATTATAAAGAGGGAGGTTAATCCTAATAAATAGAAACATTTATAAATACTCTGTGACTCATAAAACAGACTTCTGTGGCCAAGGAAAAAGTCAATTTTACATCTGAATCAGGAGTTAAAGGAAGACCTTCCCAAAGCTACAGAGAGTTAGGGAAAAACTATAGTGAAAATAGGATTTTCAGAATTCATTGGGAGACTTATAAGGCAAATGGAGATTGGAACCATGAGGTCAGGAAATCTGCTTCTCATGTTTCTATTTTTTAGTGCTGGCTGGACCATGGGCTAGTATATGTGCTGGCAAGTCTTCCAATGAGATCAGGACATGTGACAGCCATGGCTGTGGCCAGTACACTGCTCAAAGGTATGGGGCTTCACAAATAATCATAAACCCTTTTGGCTCTTAGCTTCTTTGCTTCATGTACTTGCCCTGCGCTTCCTCATAAACATCTCCCTCTGACAGCAGAAAAACTCAGAGAGGAACCAGTTGCATTGCTGACTTTGGAGCAACTCTGCTTCAAGTATGGGCTCTGAATTGGGAACAACATATAGACTGGGAAAAGAGAAAGGGGAGCAAACATAGTGTTTTTCCTCTCAATACTTTTCTCACCTGGTTTTTTCCCAGGTGAAAATCAAACATTACTCCCCCATTTTATAGATGAGGAACTTGAACTAAGGTATCAACGGGTTAAGGGACATAACAAACACAGTTGGAGATGATGAAGGCTGGACTAGGATTCAGGCTTTTGGATACTCTTCCCATCAAGCCAACCATAGTTTACTGACTTAAGCTCTGGGAGGTGACCACCAGAGGCTGGCCCTAAGCCGGCAATTTCTTCCAGACAATGAGGGACACACTTGTGAATTTTCGATAATGCACAGTACCACCTTGAGGGTACCACTCTTTGATGAAATAGCCATGTGTCCAAATGCATTACTGATCGCCATCAATAATTTAGTGGAACACTCACTTATGTAGATATTACTTATAAAGCAACCTCAAATACCTGGAGATATACCTAAGAGACAGGAAATATGAAAAAATGGCCTCCGAATTGCCAAAATTAAGACTGAATTGGTTCATATCCTAAAGTTTATGCACTTGACCTATACAATAAGTTATTATTGGCTCTTCACTTGGAACCTGCTTGATATTGCTTTATAGGTAATTCTAACAATCCTGGTGAATCTGATTTTTCAGGTAGTAGCCTATTAGGAAGGAGAAGAGGCTAGTAAGAACAGACATAGTGACAACAGTGAGGATTGCTAGAGACAATCTAAAGAAATCTCACAATCTGGGACCATTTTGTATTTGTGCTCCATATACCTTAATAAACCCAGGAGGTATCATTCACTATATTAAAATAGCAATATACAATAAATGATGTTTATAATAATTGCTGGATCACTGAGTGAAAAATTAGATTAGGGTACCATATGATTATTTCATGATAGGTTCCCATAAAAAAGACAACTCTTTCCTAAGTGGTCTTTGAAGGGCGTCAAGATTCAGATATCTAAAAAATTAACATATGAATTGCCTCATTTCCCCCAAATGCCATAGAATAATGGCTAATATTTTTTAAAGGCTTCTCAAGTACCAACTACGATCTTAAATGCTTTAATCTTTACAACATGGTTATTACTATCTTCAGGGAGGGAAGTTAAAATTGGGCAAAACAGAGTGAGGAAACCTGAGACATCTCAATATGTTTCAGCAGCTTCGAGTTTTGATACCCTAGTCTGGCAACGGAGGGATAATGCCACATTCCTGGGCAATAAAGCTCCCAGGGCAGTTCCTCAGTCTGTTCATTCTTATCTACATCCTAGAAATCAGAGGCCTCACCAGGGCGTGGATGTCTTGTGCTCTGATGGATCTACTGTGTATGCTCCTTTCACTGGAATGATTATGGGCCAGGAGAAGCCTTATAAAAACAAAAACGCCATCAACAATGGTGTTCGGATATCTGGAAGAGGTAAGAGGTGGTGTGTATGCCTAGGACACATATGGAGATGTTTGACGTTTATTTACTGAACACATAGAAGTTTTATACTTCCTTCAAAATGATAAACCTAGAACATGAAGGACGTAGGGTACCAAATCAAAACAGCTGATGCATTTTCAAATTTCCCTAAAATCATCTTCATTATGCACACACTCCACCTATCTCTACAGCTGACTGAGAGCTTTCTTTCTGTGGCCCATGTGGTTTTGCTTACTGATCTATAAACGAAGGCTTCTATATCTAGGTAAGGCTGGGTCTCCTGGTACTCCAGGTATTAGGTTTGTTGTTTGTTTAAATTCTATTGAGGTATAAGGTACACACAGAAAAGTATACAAAGCATAAGTGTACAGATCCATGGATTTTCACAAAGTGAAAATACTTGTATAACCAGCACCCAGATTAAGAAAAAGAACATCAACAGTAACCCAGAGACACTATATGCTACTTTTTATTATTCCCAGCAAGGGTAATCACTTTCCCACCATATATTAGTTTTGCCTATTTTTTTAAAATGACACAGACTTAAACAGCATGTAGTCTTTTTTATGAGTTTTTTTTCACTCCAGATCATGTTTGTGAGATTCACCCACATTTTTGCATATAGTTCTAGTTCCTTCATTCTTATTGCTTTATAGAGTGTTCTATTACATGCATGTATCTTCATCTATTTAATCATTCCTCACCCCACCCCAGTTCCCATACTTGAGCCAGTTCACTTAGCATTATTCTCTAGATGGACATTTGGGTAGTATCCAGCACTATCAGGTGATTATGAAAATACTGCTATAACCTTCCTTGTACATGTCTTTTAGTGGACATAAATATGTATTCCTTTTGGGAGTGGGTCCAGCGGACATTCCTCTAACCAAGACTGTAAGAAACACTTGTGAGGGAGCCCATGTCCTTGAGGAGCTACATAATGGCTTAGGCCTGAAATGACAAGAGAAACAGCTGCCACTGAATGGAGTCCACTTAGTAGCCAAGGCCAAAGTTGGCATGGTTATCTAACAGGCAGCGGAGCTTAAGCAGTAATCAGATTCATCTGAAGCACAGAGATCTGTTGTATTGTCTAATTAATCATGGTGACCTAAAACCAAATAGATGGGCAGCCTACTAAAGCCTTATCTGATCTGTATAAATGGAAACACTGTAGGTCTGATGAACAAAATTCTGACTTCAATCATCACAATAGTAGGTCATTCCTCACCCTACCCCAGTTCCCATACTTGAGCCAGTTCACAGTACCAGGGATCCCTGAATGAAAAGGAGGCTGAGTCCCTTTGAGGAAGGGCTCTGACACACAGCCAAAAATTTATACTATTAACTTTTCTTCTAGCTACCCCCAAAAGGACCTGCAGCCTTTTAGCAGAATGACTATACACTGAGGAAGAAATAATCAAGCTTTTCAGAGATTATTGAACACTCACTGAAAAGGGACACCAAATCCTGGAGATTCAAAAGGCCACTGGGGTCCACCAGTTAGACTAGGGGCTTCTAGGTTCAGGTAATCAATGAAGTTTTTCACTAGAGTCCATCTTATAGTAGGCCCAGTGTATCCACAAATCCATTCTGAAGTCATTTCCCCAGTTGCATAATTGGAATCAACATACTCAACAACTGGCAGAATTCTGTAAGACAGGAAGCGCTGGATCGCTTGGTATATGTGTATCTTCAGCTTTAGCAGATACTGCCAGTTTCCCAAAGTAATAGTACCAACCTACACTCCAACCAGGACTGTATGAAAGTTCCAGTTGCTCCAGACACAATACTTGGTGTTATCCATCTACCTTTCTTATTACAGCCATTCTGGTGAGTCTGTAGTGATCTCTCATTTGGCTTTAATTTGCATCTCCCTGATGGCTAGTAAAACTGAGCATCTTTTCATATTTATTGATAACATGGATATTGCCTTTTGTGAAGTGCCTATTCAAGTATTTTGCCTTGTCTTTTTTTGCCTGTCCTTTTCTTATTGGTATACAGGAGCTTTTTTGCATATTCTAGATATAGGTCCTTTATCAGATATTTGTAAATATCTTCTCCCATTTTGTAGGTTGTCTTTTCACTTTCTTAATGTTCCTTTTAATAAACAAAAATTCTTGTTTTTAATGCAGTCAAATTTAGTGGTATTTTCTTTTGTTAACACATTTTTTTTTTACCTGTTTAAGACACATTTGCCCACCTTGAAGTCATAAAGATATTGCTTCCACTGACAAGCTTTATTGCTTCATCTTTCATACTGAGAGTTATAATCCATCTGGAATTGTGAAGGAATGAGATAAGAATCAAGATTTTTTCCCCATATTGATATATAATCGACTCAGTATTATTAACTTGACGAGACCATTTTTTCCCTACTGCACTTGAGTATCTTTTGTCATAAATCAGAGTCTGAATATATATGGGTCTGTTTCTGGTGCTGCTACTGTGTTTCATCAGCCATTTGTCAATATTCCACAAATACCACACTATCTTAATTACTATAGCTTTAAAATATATCTTGATATCTGATAGGATAAATCTTCCAACTTTGTTCTTTCAGACTGCCTTGGCAATTCTCGGTCATTTGCATTTCCAAATTATAGAATCAGTTTGTCAAATTCCACCAAAAATCCTGCTGGGATTTTGACTGGATTTGCACTAATTATATATATCAAATTGAGAAGAACCGATGTCTTAAAAGCAATGAGTCCTCCAATCAATGAACATGTTATATCCTTGGATTAGTTGTCAGTATAGGGGTCTCGTACATATTGTTTAATATTTGTACATAAGACACACTTTAGTAATCTTGTTTAGATCTTCTATACCAGTACTATCCAATAGGAATATAATAAAAGCCACATAAGCATATTTTCAACTTTATAGTAGTCACCTAAAGTAAAAACAGGTGAAATTAATTTTAATAATATATTTTATTTAACCCTATATCTCCAGAATATTTTCATTTCAAAATGTAATATAAAAATTATTTTACCTTTTTTTGTATTGTCTTCAAAATCCAGTGTGTATCTTAAGTATATCTAATTCAGATTAGCTACACTTTAAGTGCTAACTAGCCACATGTGGCTAGCAGCTACTATGTTAAACAGCACGATTCTATAGACTTTATGTTTTGTCCACTTGACCTATTTTCACTAATATATGTTTAAGTCTCCTATTACTAAGGGGTTTCTGTTTTTCCTTTTATCTCCTGTAGTCTCTGCTTTATACAGATGGTCTATGTTATTTAGCACATGGACAGTTCTAACTGTTGCATCTTCATTGGACTTAGCATTATAAATTGTCCTTCTTTGTCTTCTTTCAGTGGTTTTTGGCCTGAATGCCACTCTCTGGTAACAGAATCATAACACCTGCTTTCCTTTTTGCATCCATTTTTCTTGGCAAATTTTTGTCTGGCTCTTAACTTTTGAGCCTTTTTCAATTACTGTATTTTATTGTATATAGCACAGAATTGGGTTTTCCTTTTCAAGCCAATAGGACATTCTATTTAATAGACAGGTTAACATTTAGAGATAAACATATATTTAGTCCCAATGTTGTTGTATTTATTTTGTGTTATAATTATGGTATTATATTAAATCTCTATTTCTCCATCTGGTGGGTCTTCATTATTTAAAAAATATTTTTCTTTTGGTATTTAGGAAGATTTGTATTTTCGTACCAGTTATTTCCATTTTCCTTGTCTTTAAAGTCTAACAGTTTAATTAGAATAAGTCTTAGAGTTGATATTGTTCTGGATCAATTTTCTTCAGCAACTGGGTATATTTCTGTTATTCTTCAATGCCTTTATTAAATGTTCATTTGAATCTATTCTGGGCATCTTGTAATTTTTGTGTTTTTTTCTGATGCGATTTTGCCATTTTCTTCTATTCCCTCACTGAGTTCAATCAACCCTCCCTTCTTTTTGTCTTTCTATTTTTGTTCTTGTTTTTTTTTTTTTGAATTTCTGAATCAAGATTACTAAAATCTAGATAATAATTTTACTTCTTTTCTTTTAGGTTTCTGTATTAAAATGTTCTACATTAAGCCAATTAAATATAAAGGTTCTATCAAGAAGGGAGAAAAACTGGGAACTCTACTGCCCTTGCAGAAAGTTTATCCTGGCATACAATCCCACATACATATTGAAAACTGTGACCTGAGTGATCCCACTGTGTACCTATAAGTGGAAGACAAATGAACAGATCTTTAGAAAGCCATCTTCTTAAAATCTGAATGCACATGCTGCTTTTCAAGAAATGTGTTCAACTAGAAACATGATGAATGCAAAGAAGAAAATGGTGTTTTGATTTCAACTCATTGTCACTTTGACGTTTTTGCGTGTCAACTAATTTTTCAGGGCTCTCTAATCTTTCTGTAACCTGTGAAATCTGGGGTGGTGGTGTTTTCTGTTGTTTTAAACATTTCTTAGTCCTAAATACATAGGATAAATAAACATAAATTTAACCTGGTCCGAATGCATTTTTAATGCTTCTAAAACTAGATTTCTGATTTTAAAAAAAGCCTCCAGCTGTTTTTATGGTATAAGAATGGTGTGTTGTACAATGGGTAGACATACATACACACCTAATAAATATTAACTGAATAAGTTGGAAGCTTCTTTTGAATTATGGTTGTGGAGAATTTCAGCAATATCCTTAGGTCTGTCAAAATAGTTGGACTGTGAGATGCATGCACGGGTAAGAG